GTTACTGTCTGTTGGGCAATTGCCCTCTCCCTGCAAGAATCAGAATCCTGGCTGGGCTGAAGTCACAAGGAACTCGAGACAGATCTTAATTAAGCTCCAGGCAGAGCTCCTATTAGTTGATAAAGGCTTTGGAAAAGAGTGAAGGAGAGAGTCCCCTGAGGGCTGGAGCTGTGGAGGAAAGCTAAAAGAAGGAGGTGGGCTTTGAAATGGGTTTTGGGGCCTGTCGGACCAGGAAAAACTGAAGAACAAAGCACAGTCCACAGGAGGGATGGAGGGAGATGGGGAATGAGGAGGAACTGAAAGCTCTAACTCAGAGCTTTGCCTGTTCAAGTGTGGATGCAAAATGTCACACAGCATCACTCTCCAGAGGATTCTACTAGGAAGGTGACTGTACACTGCTCTGGGATGGTGGCACCTGGAGATAGCACCAAGGATGCAGGCTCCTCCCAGGAGAAAGGACAGTGCCCAGTTCCCTGGATGTGGCCTTAGCTGGAAGTCCTCTACCCCATGCAGACCTCGCTCAACACATGATCTGCTTACGTGCATCCTCCTTCACTACAACTAAGCTCTTCTAAAGCTGGAAAGGTGACTTCTATGTGCTGGGCGTATAGAAGGTCCGCAATGAATGAGTGTCACATGATCCACTGAATGAAACCAAAGAACAAGAAGCAAGACATCAAAGAACAGGGTGCACGCCCACACTTCCAGAACTGAACATTTCCCTCAGGGAAAATGAGCAAAGGCATCAGTGCTCATTGCACGCAGCAGCCATGAAGACCTGGTGTTTGTACAGAGAAATACCCCGCGTGGGGTGTCAGGAAAAGGACAGTGTCATCCCATAAAGACCAGAGTCAGTGAGGCTTACAACATCCCAAAGCCCCCAGGAGATAGACACGATGCACAACCTATCAAAGCTCCAGTGGGTGTCTTGGGTCATTCTAGAATTAATGTATTATAAAAAATTAAAATAAACTAACTTATTATTTTAAGCCCTTCCCTGGATAGATGGTGCAGCTGAGAGGCTCAGGGCACCTAGGGGACTTGCGTCCAGTCACACAGCGAGTCTAGGGGCACAGGCTGGACCAGAGCTCAGCTCTCCTGACTCCCATTCCAGGGCACTCTAGACTAGGAGCAGAGCTGGGACTAGGGTGAGGCAGGTGAGGCACACTCGCCCGAGGAGCAAAATGTAAGGAGGCTAAAAAGCTCTGTAATCAAGGTAAGTAGCATTTTGATGCAATATTTATTCTTTTGGATGCAATATTTTTTAAAAAACAAAACCAGTGCAAAACAAATCCATGGTAAGCAACAAAGCAACTTTTAAAACAAAGACTTAAAGTTGTACCCTCGTGTGCCTCAACCTCCTCCACTGCACCCTGATCCCAGCCTAGACTAGGAGCCCCGAAGTGACAACTGACTAAGACGCGGAGGAAATGGTTGTGTGGAAACCTATAGGAAGATCACGCCAGGATCTTAGCTCCCCAACAAGGGACTGAACCTGGGCCCTCGGCAGTGAGAGCGCGGAGTCCTAACCATTGGACTGCCAGGGAACTCCCTCAACCTCTGCACTTTAGAATCACTCAGGAAACTTCAAAAATTCCCTTCCAGGGAATTCCCAGGACGTGGCTTGCTTGGGGTGTCTGAGACACAGAAAAGCGGCAGAGTGCTGGGAGAGGTGGCAGGTGAATGCCACCCCGACCCCCATCCCCACCCCAACTTGCAGGGCAGCATTTTTCCTGCAACAAGATGTGTACCAGGGACACCCAGCTCGACCCCCTGCCAGGAGAGCTCAGGGAGAAAATTCCACCCGCCACCCCCCTTCCTAGACACCCGCCTCCTAACTCTAACCAATTGTCTCGTGAATCTTAGCCTTTTCACCTCCAGAGGCAGGATGCATTTAAAAGTTTGGACAGCTCTGGGTAACCCTTTCTGCCACGGAGAAACAACCCAGAACTTTATGACTTACTGGGTTATGAATGGGAAGGAAAGCATACCCTTAAACCGCAGACTGTAACTCCCTTTTAAGGTATTTCCTTGGGGCCAGAGACGCCACATCTTCCTCCTGCCCCCGGTTCTAATAGCACCTTGTTTTTTAGTGACAAGCTTGGGCTTTTAGGTCAGCCAGGCCTGGATTCAGATCCAGTTTTGCCATTTACTGGGTGGCCCTAGACAATTTATTGAGACGAGACAATAGCAACTCATGCTTCCAGGGGTCTGGGGGTAACTTAAAGGACATGATGGGGGCTGAGGGGCAAACCATGGGCAAAGGGGGCAGGGCACAACCCAACACCAGCACACGGCTCTCATGGGGGATGTCAGCCAGACCTTCCAGTGTTTCAAAAGAAAAACAAATTATGTGAAATCTCCTGATTTTTACAGGCTGGCCAACTAATTCAAAATTAAAAAAAAAAAAAAAGTCAACCCAGAAGGGCCAAATAAAGCAGGTCTGCGAGCCAGAGCCCACCGACTGGCCCAGTTTGTGCCTCTGACATCCACAAATCACCCAGCAACCTCCCTGGCACCTAGTAGGTGCTCAGCAAACACAGGTCATTTCCATCTTTTCAGGAAACTCTCCAGGCATCATCAACATCCATTTCCACACAACAGCTTGGGAAGGAATGCTTCTCAGGAGGAAAATGAAGATACAAAAAGAAGAGCTGAAAATCTGGAAGGCTCCAAAGGGAGGGAGGAACTGCCAAGGGAATTCCTTAAAAGGATTTAAAAGAATTTTATTGGCCATAGTTTAGCACAAGTCAGGGATAAGATCAGGCAGTAATTTAACTCCTGGGCCCAGCAGGCGAGTCTGTGCCTGTGGGGTGGATGGGGGGTGGGAGGGAGGAATTGTTCTTACCATGGTCTCCACCAGTGTCTCGGGTCCTCTGTCCACAGGTCACCCCAACATCTGCCTCCGACTCACAGCGTTCTGATGGGGACAGCGCCTCCACGGAGGGGCGCATAAGGCCCAGCTGATCCTACACAACAGAAAGCAAGGCTTGAGTCTCCCCACCCTCCCACCCCAGTGGATCTGGTAGCTCACATGAACTTTGAAGTCAGACCCAGCTGGGTTGAGTTTCAAGTCTTCAACATCAGAGGTTCTCAAAGCGTGATCCCCAGACCAGCAGCGACCCCATCAGCAGCGGCAGCAGCAGGGAACTTGTTTGAAAGGCCCCATCCCAAACCCACTGAAACAAAACCACTTGTTAAAACCGCCTGGGTTTTAACAAGCCCTCCAGTGGATTCTGATGCACGCTAAGTTTGAGAACTCCCGCTCTCCATCTTTATCCTGCGGTCTTCAGCAAGGCCTATGTCTCACTGAGAGGATCAACTCTATCCTACGGGACTGTCCTAAGCACCCCTCCAACAACTATTTCAGAAGCCTGGTCTGTCTGTGCCAGACAGCGTGGAAGATGCTAGGAGGAGAGCACATAATCCTGGCCCTGATGGAGCTTGATGTCTAGTGGGGAGACAGATAATAAGCCAGGAAAAGAGATATAAACGCCGATTTTCAGAAGGGAGAGGAAGGCAGGGGCCTGATCCACCACATAGAGCTGTGTTTCTCAAAGTGCACTCTAGGGACCACCTGAGCACCAAAGCCCACACAGCCAGGCAGACCTCCTTTCCTACACGCCCCCCAATACTCCTCTCTAGTGTCCCTGCTGCTCCTCAAACACACCTCTCTCTCCTGGGCTTCGGGGCCATTGTCTTTGCGGTTCCACCTACCTGGAAAGCTCTCTTCCCAGATCTTCCAAAGATGGGCTGCTTCTCCTTGTTCAGGGCTCAGTGTAAATGTCGCCTCCCCTTAGGTCTAGCTAAAGCGGTCTCTCCCCTCACTCTGTAGCCCCACCACCTGCTCGGGCTTCCTCCCTGCCCTTCTCACAGCCTCCCATCTTGCGCCTCAGCGGCTTTGCTGGTTCAGCCTGTCTCCCAACAGAAAGTGAGTTCTTGGGGTCAGCTCCTTGTGACGGTGGCCTCTGGGGCACGGGTGAGCCGTGACACCCTAACCCTATTCCTCTTCGCGCACTCCCAGAAAGAGCAGCGCTCTCAGCTCCGGAGCCTGCTCCCCACGCCTGAGGAGGAGGCCACAGGCCGGGCTCAGGGCAGGGTTTCTTCACGGCCTTGCTGGGTGCTCTGATGGTGAGAAAGGGCGGTAGAGACTGGAAGGGAAAGAGGAAAACGGGGTGCGAGGCCAGCGACCCTAAAAGGCCGGCTCTGCGGTGGCGCCCTCTCTCGGGCAGAGCCCTCCAAACCAACCCCCAGCAAAGGCGCGACTCCTACCAGTTCCGAGGCGAGGCGTCGCTCTCAGCCGGCTCGGGACCCCAGGACCCGGTCCGAGTGCCCCGCGTCGGCTGGGGGTGCTGGCAGCTGGGCCACGCGGACTCCGAGCTGGTGGCGCACAGGGACTTGGAGGGAAAGGCACCTGGCGCGGCACGTGCTGTCCCTAAGAAGTTGACGCCGCAAGGCGCGTGCAGTCCCTGGCCCGCAGTGGCACGAGGGGCCCAAGGGCAACGGCGCACTCGGACCTCCAGGGAGAAGCACAAGACCGGGCGCGTGGTGCGTGCAGCCCCGGGGCAGCGGAGCGTGGAGCCTTTACGTGGCACGTTGGCGCCTGGGGCAGTGACGCGAGGGGACCAGGGCCAGCGGGGACTCGAACCTCCAGGGGAAGCACCTGACCCCAGGAGGCTGGCGCGCTGCGGGGCGAGTGCATCCCGAGGGCAGCGGAGCGCGGGGACCACGAGGGCAGGCGGGCGGAGAGGCGCGGGCGGGAGGGCGGGGAAAGGGGAGAGGGCGGCGGCTGGGCGCTCGGCGCGTGCGGTCCGGGCCGGGACTCGGGAAGGCGCCCAGCGGAGCGCTGCACATCCGAGGGCCCGGGCCCAGCCCTGGGCCGCCCGGAAGCCTGGGGTCGGCGCCGCGTGGCCTCCGCGTCCCCCGCCGCCGCCCGCGCTCCCCGCCCCGAGCGCCGCCCCTCCCTCCGGCCCGCCTCCCGCCCCGCTCCCTCCCTCCCTCGGCGGCTGCCTCGCGGCGCTCCCGGCGCACTCGGAGCCCGGCGGGGACCGGGAGGCAGAGGCTGGGGGCCCTGGGTCCGAGTGCCGGAGCTGAGCGGGGCCCGGGGGCCGAAGTTTGCCGGCGGCTCCGGGAGGTGGCGCGGGTGGCTTCCAGCCCCTGGTCGTGTCCTCGCCGGGACCCGCCGGCGAGCCGCGGCCCGGCCAACTCCGCGGTGGGGACGCTGTGCCGCGAACTTGAGGTGGGAACTTGGCGCGCTGCAGCCTCTCCGAGCACCGCCGGACTGGCGGACTCGGGCTCCGGTAGGGGGAGATGCACGTGGCCGTGGCCCCGGCGCCCCAGAGGGGACCCCGAAAACCACTGAGGGGGGCGGCCGGGACGACAGAGGATCCGGGAGCAGCTGCGGGCGGTGGGGTGGAGCTCGCTCGCCACGGTCATGGTGCGGGTCCAGCTTCTTTTCTTCCCTGGGGTCCCCGGGGTGCGAAGTGACAGGGAAGGAGGGGGGGTATATCCCGGCTGTGGCAGAGGTTTCTCGGCGTCTCGCGGGAGGATCCAGGGAAGAGGGAGTGTTGGGGGGAGGTGGTAGGGGGGCGTCTGTCACTCGCTCATTCACTCCATCCTTAGGCACCGCTCCGAAGGGAGCATCCTGTCAGTGGGCTTTATTGAGTCACTCATTAACGCCACAAGCTTTTATTGAGCGCCCACTGTGTGCTGGGCCCTGGGGACTCCTCAGCCTCCGGGGCTCCCTACCAAGAAGGGGCTCAGCCTGGATGGATTGGAGTCTTCGGATGAGGAAGGAAAAGAGAGAAGTTCATTCATGGATTGAACAAAGATTGGTTGAGCACCTACTACGCACAGCTCACCATGCCAAGTGCCCAACGTTAATTATTTCATTCATTTAACAGTTATTGAGGCACTGTGCTGAGGAGAGAACCGTGAAGGAGAGGGATGGGATGGGGGCAGGAGAGGATGGAAGCCAGCTTGCAGCTTGGAGAACATCCCCCCTCCCCATGTGTGTAGGCAGAATGTCACTGGACAGGTTGCAGAACAGCCTTTCCTTGGTTCGCCTACTGCATTCATTCTCAAGGAGGAGCGGGGGGAGGCTGGAATAGGTTGTTGGATAAGAAGAAAAGGTCTTTAAAAAGCTCTTTAGGGGAGGGTGGTAGTGGGGAGGGGGGCTGAGAAACACTGATCTAACCATACCGATGAAGGGAGGCGCCCACCAATGGGGTGTATTAGTTAAGTTGTCCATTCCACAGGCATTTTCTTAAGTGCTTGCTCTTCTTAAGCACATACAGGGTGCCAGGCACCAAAGTCACCAAGGAGAACGAGACGGACACAGAGACCCCGTTTGCTGACTCCTCAAGACAAATGCAGGGGAGGTGGGAGAAGGGAGCAGGAACTGCTCTGATTCATTGTGTGCGTGTTAAGGGGGAAGGGGCTGCTTCTGACTCTATGAATCTAAGCAGAGGTTTATTCACTAGGGTGTGTTTGATACCCACACACATGACTGCAGTCAGAGTCACTTCAGGGACCCCCCCCCGGAGCACGTTTCCAAGGCAGATTTGGCACTGCTGGAGCCTCCAGCCCCAGTGCTGGAGCCAGGGGAGGGGCAGGTAACCAGGACGTGCTGGCTTTCTTGAGTGGAGTTCTCAGAACCTGTCAGACCTGAGCTTGACCCTGTGTCCTCTGTCTTGGAGCTCCGCAGAGGCACCTGTCGAGCAGGGAGGGAGGGAGGGTGTGTCTGAAAGACAGGTGAGGATGGCCCCTGGGGATTGCCCTCACCAGTCATTCCCTAAGCCAGCCCATTCCAGTGGAAAGATGTCTGTCATGGGACCCACTACAAACCCACAAGGGACTGTGAGTGTGCTAGAAACAAGACAGCCCTGATTCCTGTCCCAAGCCTTGAGAACCCAGGCTGGGGGAGTCCTGGAGTCTGATTGGGGCAGATCTGGGGGCTAAGCTCCTGTCCCACTGCCATTCTGAATTCTCTGCACCAGCCACACAGCCGGGCTGTGGCAAGAGATGAGGGAGATGCCCCAGGGAACAGAAGAGCAGAGAGATGTGTCCTGGATGTAGGACTGAGAGACTCAAACCGAGACTAAGGAATTAACCCCCTGGACCCCTAAAAGGTGTCTTGACTGGGCCGTCTTTTCTCCACATCCCCCTTCCGAATATGTGAGGAAGAGTCAACATTTCCGGTTGCCAAAGATATAGGGTCTGGGAATCCACTCTTGGTTGGCTCATTAAACACAGAGATGGAGCCCCTGGGTGGAAAATGGCGGCTGGAGAAGCCACTCTAAAGAGAATTAATATAAAGGGGGAGGCAAGAAAGTCTAGCTGCAAGCAATCAATCCCTGGTGGCCATTTTTGTTCCATAGCAGCCAGTATTTGACTGACAAAGTCAGAACCTGGAGTGAATGTGCTCCAGATAGGATCCGAATGGTGCCTCAGCCCTTCCCCTGCCCTGTGGTCACAGCCTCACACCTGCGTCTCCCCAGACGGGCGGGCACACCATGCTCTCCCTCGTTCCTTCCTCCCTTCCCTGCCGCAGCTGACCACGGACACGTGGCCTCAACACTTGCTAAGGAATAAGAAACGAGGGATTGTTTAAGCTGGTGTCCCCTTCCTGCTGCCCCAAGGTCCTCATGGCTCTCCAAGCCTGTGCCTCTGCTTACGCCTGTGTTCCCAAATTGGGGGGCTGCAAGGAGGCAAAGAGAAATGGACCTTCCGGCTCCCACCCCAAAGCCCCTCCTGGTAGAAGGCAAACTGTTATTTTGCCAGAAGCAGAGCAGGGAGGCTCCAGAGGCTGCCTCTGTCTGGGGGGAGGGGCGTCTCTGGCATGTTCTCTCTTTGGGGGTGGCGGGGTGGAGGAAAGAGCCCAGCTCCCAGCAAATATCCCCCCCACCCCAGTGACCTGGGCCCCAGCTCGCAGGAAGCAGGGCTGAGGTCCAGCATGGTTGGATTGTAACGAGGGAGGACAGGAGGAAGCCAAGGAAGATGGATCGCCCCACGCGGGCACAGCATCGCACAGAGGTCCAGCATGCCAGGACCTGGGCCAGCCTAATGGCTGGATCTGTTTTGATTAACGTTTTAATTGAGGATTAATGCGGCATGACCCACCTCTGAGTCAGCCCAGCCAGGAGCCCTAACCCTGACCGATGAAGCTGCACAGGCAGGGGAAGGGCTGCATGGAGAGATCAGTGGGGTGCCCTCGACACCCGATCAGGGTCAGGGGATTACACAAGTTGGCAGGTGTGGAGCGGGGTGGGCAGAAAGAAACCAAAGACCGAGGAGCTCAGGAAAAACTTTTTTTTTTTTTTTTTTAAGAGAGTTGCATTGCACTTGGTTCATTTCTTACTGCCACCTATTACCACCCATTTAGTGGCCGAAAGCAACAAATTTCTTATCTTACAGTTTGGGGGGATCAGAAGTCCAAATGGGTCTCATTGGGCTAACATCAAGGGGTCAGCAGAGCTGTGTTCCTTCTCGGGGGAGAATCCATTTCTGCCTTTCCCAGCTGCTGGAGGCTGCCTGCCTCGGCTCCTGGCTCGCATCATTCCAACCTCTGCTTCTGTCATCACATCTCTTCCTCTGACTCTGATCCTCCTGCCTCCCTCTTATAAGGACCCTTGTGTGACATTGGGCCCACCAGTCGATCCAGGGTCATCTCCCCATCTCAAGGCCCTCGGTTTAATCACAGCAGCGTAATCCCTTTTGCCATGGTAGGTAACATATTCACAGGTTCCATCCAGGGCTTGGGACATGGGCATCTTTGGGAGGCAATTGTTCTGCCAAGCACAGGAACGCGCCTCACCAGTTTACATTGCTGACGGGGAAACTGAGGCCCAGCCAAGCGAGTGACCTGACCTCAGCGCCAGGTGAGATGGAGAGCCGGCACTGAGGTCCAGCCCTCTGGAAGGAGTTGTCTGCTTCACATTCCTCCTCTGAAAGAGGAAATGCAAGGGGAGGAGCAGGCAGGGGAGGTGCCAGGCGTGCTGTGCAGAAGCCATTCTAGCCAGCACAGAGCCCTTCTCATGTGCCAGGCATGGCTCCAAGCACTTAGGAGGAGAGCGCGACGATTACCCCCACTTTACAGCTGAGGACACTCAGGCACAGAGAGGTGAAGTTATTTGCAGAAGGCTGCACATGTGGTAAATGGTGAGCCAGGCAGCGTGGTCCAGAGGCCACACCCTCACCCCTGGCTGGTGCCTGTCTGCACCATAGGAGAGTTCTGCCCAGAGACCAAAATGGCAACTGGGAACTTGACGCAAGCAGGAGTTTTGTTGATTTCTTACTCTGCTCTTGTGCAAATACGCAGTAGGAATAAAGATGGTTCCCCAGCTATGGGCAGTTGCCTGCTTCTCCCCATCCGCAAAGACTTTTCAAAAGCTTGTGCATAGAAAATAGAGACGAGAGACCCCGTCCCTGGCTTGCTTCTGGTGCTGGACACCCTCCCCACTCCACCAGGAATGAGCAATGCAGGGGCCCAGTAAAATGCAGAGTCAGAGAGGTTTGCTCAGAATCCCACAGACCTAGCTGGAGTCTGGTTTCATCACCAGAGTCATGAGTTTTCACTTCTCAAAGCCTCAATTTCCTCATCTGTAAAATGGGGGTGTTGATAGTAACACCTGCCTCTTAGGGAAGGACGTGGGCTCGCACAGTTAAGGCTCTTCACAGCGCCTGGCGCCTAGTGTGTGATTATGGGAGGCTGTGACGTGTGTTGCTACAGCACTGTGAGTGGTTGGTGCTCTCTCTGCATTGCCCCCTCCTGCTCAGAAGAGGGACAGGCCTAGGACTGGAAGAGTGGAGTCGAGAGAGGACAGCAGTTGGTCAAAACCCTGGAGAGACCCAAGAGGTGTCTTAGCAGTTGGGATCAGCACATAACAGTTTGTGGAATCCTTCCTGTCCTTGATGGGATGTGGCCCTGGGGATGAGAGATCAAGTGACAGTGATCATACCTGCAGCAAACCTCCATTCACCACATCCTCATAACAGCCCAGTAAGGTTGGCACACTTATCCCCACTTTATAGGGGGAAACAGGCCCAGAACAGGGCCGGCGCCTCAGTAGGTGCAGACGGCTGTATCAGGCCGAATGGGTATGAACAAAAGCAGTAGTAACAGCGAGGCAAGCCTGACTTCGACCTTCCTCCCATCCTGCTCCCCACACCTGAGTCCTACCCCCCAGGCCCTGCACCCCACCCTCAGTCAGATGCTGACCACAGAGCAGCCTCATGGTG